GGGGGAGGGGACTCCGCGGCAGCCGAGCCCTGACAGACGCCTCCTCCCCACCAGCCCTCTGCCTGCGCGTCCTCCCGGGCCCTCCTCACCCTCAGCTTCGCCCGCTCCGCAGGCCGCACCTCCCTCTCTCCGGGCCGGCGCGCTCCAAAGCACCCATCCTTCCCAGAGAGTGACCTCCTGGCCTCTGCTGGGTAGAAAGCAAGAGGTTTGACGTCTTTGTGATCTTGGCCAAGTTATTTAACCTCCCTTAGGTTTTCTGATTATACAAAGACAATAGGAATGAATAGTAATACGCGGAAAATGCCTACATTGAGGAAACCTGAGACAGTATGAGAGAGAGAGAAAAAAAAAAAGAATCCAGGTTATGAATTGACTGGTAAAGGTTCAGACAAAATGTTTTAATATTTACTAAAAAATTAACACTATCAAGGGCCCTTCACGTAGGACATAATCACCAGGATGCAGTATATTCTGGATTCCTGTTTCTTCCTGCTAGTTACTTCAGGATCTCTCCAAAGTAACTTGATGAGGTGAATTCATTCGTCTTATTGTGGCTAATTTGATCCTAGGTAAAGTCTTTGTGGTTCTATGGCTTTAACTACATCTCTTGGGACCTGTTTATGGCTCCAGAGGAAAAGACTTTCCCTCCATTTCCTTCATTACTTCTGAAGTTCCTCTGCCAAAAATCTTCACTGTTCTCTGCCTTTCTCTTCCATCCCTTTCTCTTACAAGCTCCTCAATTCCTTCCTTTTTTCCCCACATTACCTCAGTAGGAATGGTTTATAATTACTTCTTACTGAAACTATAATCAGGCTTGTCAAAAAGGTAGAGCAGTGTTTGTGGCTAGATACATGGCTAAGTCCATAGAAGGATGGACAGATAGGTGTGTGTGTTTATATACATAGCTTAGAATGTTGTACTCTCTAGGAACTTTCGGTTGAGAAGGGATTGCAATACCTACTTGGTAGCTTATTTTGAGAATGAAAAAAAAATTTGATAGCTTACAGAAATCCTCCAGTAGAAGGGTCTAGCTTGGAATAACCACCTAGGAAGTTATAGCTTACTGCCTCTGACCTGGATATCCTTCCTTTGATCTCTTTGCTGTATTGTTTAACATGGTGGTGAAGACTGTGGGCTTTGAAGAGAAATTGCTTAGGTTCGGATCCAAGCTACACCACTTTATTAAATGATCTCTCTGACTCAGTTTCCTCATCTGCAAAGCGGAGATATTGTACTTTTTCTGCTCTGAATATTTAATTAACAGTGTAGAGCCATGAGAAGAGTGCTAATAATAATACTAATGAGTACATTGACATTATTTTTACCTTAGATTCTTTATTTTGGAGTTTTTTTTCAAACACTCTATATAGCTCAAGCTGGCCTTAAACTCACTCTGTAGCCCAAGCTTGACTCAAAATCATGGGGAATCCTCCTGCCTCAGCCTCTAGGATGCTAAGATTACAGGTGTACACCACCACAATAAAACATATTTAAAATTTTACAGTTTATTGAAAAATTATAATTGTACACAAAGGGAAAGTTGCCCCTCGGTACCTCCAAATTCTTCATTCTTCCTTTCTCATTCTTTTTTTTTTTTTTTTTTTTTTTTTTTTTTCCCGGGTTAAATTTACCCTTTTT